GAAGAGATCGAAGTCACTGCTGTTGGAGCCTCCACCATTGACCCGGATAGAGAGTTACTCCCTACCAGCTTCCTTACTCTCACTTATCATTTTTTTGTCCTCCATGGCTGCCTCAAAAGAAGAGAGATCAAGGTCAAACATTTCACCGATTTGTATAGGTATGCTCTAGTGGAGTTAGAAGGAGCCAATACGGAGGGTTTACATCCCCGGGAAAGCTTTTATGCAATAAACATTCCCGAAGAGTCACCAGCTGAAAAGGATTTACCCAATGCAGTCAAATTGCAAGAGGCAGGAGTGAAGTTTAAGCCTCTTTCAACTAAATCTTTATTTGGCATAGACTTGAGAAATCGACGCTTTCCATTCTTTAATGGAGTTGAACTGCGAATCCCGTGCATTGAAATAAATGACGACACTGAATCATTGATTCGAAATTTGATGGCATTGGAGCAGTGTCACTATCCATCAGAAACTTACTTACGCAGTTACATGGAGTTGATGAATTCCCTTATCTACTCTGTAGAAGACGTGAATCTACTTGTTAAAAAGGGAATTATTAAAAATCTTGTGGGCGAGAATCTTGTAATAGTGGACCTCTTTAATAAACTTCGCCAACAGATTCCAGAAAATGGTTCCCATTACTCCGGCTTTTATAAGCATCTTAGAGCGTACTACGACAATCGTTGGAACTGCATCGGTGGAAAGTTGAGAAACATATGTTTAAGAAATCCTTGGCAAGCCACGGCAGCTGTTGTCGGAGCTATAATTTTTCTGCCGAGTGTGGTTGATAACATTCTTTCAATTAACAACTCCTTTTGGTCTTAATATTTGTATTGACTGGCCTTTTCTTATTTTATAATGTAATTTACATTTAGTTAATCGTATGGATTTGCTATTGTTAGAGATGTTATTTATAGTCATATTCTTTCATAAAATATTTGTGAATAATGCTGCTTAAAAGTGTTTGTTAAGAGCTAAAATCAATACGCTGCAGATTTATGCAAAATATGGCAAATTTCATTGGTCCCTGTATGACTAAAAGTGACAAAATCAACCTTAGGTTTTATGACAATTTGACCCCTGAATAGCATAAATGAGACAACATCAACCCTAGAAAATAAATCACATCCTAATATCAACTTACACAATCTCAAATTTTAATCCAATCATGCCAAATTAGTAAAAAAAACTCAAAATATGATTTTTAAACATAAATTCATGATTTCTCTTAATTATCTCAATATGATTCCATTTTAATCACACATATGGTCTTTTTATCACCAAAATAGAGTCACTTTCATGACTCTAACAATCTTCCTCTTGTATAGATTAGAAAAACAAGAAATGAAAATACTGCAGCTCAAATTTGCTCCCCTCTTTTTCGTTTCCTCTTTGAATCTCTTATTTAATAACTAGGCAGCTCTGGGGTTTTAATATTTTTATTGAATGGTCTTTTCTTATTTTACAATGTAATTTACATTTAATTAATGGTATGAATTTGCTATTGTTAGAGATGTTATTTACAGTCATATTCTTTCATAAAATATTTGTGAATAATGCTGCTTAAAAGTGTTTGTTAAGAGCTAAAATCAATACGCGGCGTTTTCTTAAGAATTGTTTTTGCTTAATGAACCATAGTCATTTAATTGGCATATGGGTTTTAACCATGAATTGTGATTAAGTTTCCAGGCAAACTAGGTAACACCGAAGTCATTTAATTGGATTCAGGTTAATAAATATTATATATTATATGCTGAATAATAATGAACTATAATATTATCAAAATAGTAAGAAAATCCGCACACATTGAATGAAAAATTAAAAGACAAAGTTTACCCTTTTTTTTTTTTTTTTTTTTTTAATTTCTCTTTATTTACAAGTATAAAAATTTGATTTTTTCTTATTATAATTCATAATTTTATAATATACGTTAATTGTGTCATAAACAAATAATAATTTTATTATTTAATCATGTCATGAATAAATAACAATGATATAAATAAATAATTGTAGAGTGATGCTATTTACCCTCTAAATTTTATTTTATTAAGCCCAACTTCTATTAAAACCCCATTAAAAAATGTTAAATGAGAGAAGACTATTACCACCCCAGATGATTTTTCAAATTTTTTATTATTATTATTATTTTTTTGGAAAAGGAAGTTTAAAAAATAATCACTTAGCTGAAATTCATCACTAATCACTCCTGAAATTGACTGTGTTTGGAATCTGTTAGAATTTAAGGGGTAAGGATGTAATTCCATTTCCTTTCGTTTTCTTTTATTATCTTTAAACGTTTTGTTAACTCAAAGCACAATCTCCAAACCGCAAACCGCCCCTAACACCGTGGCGCCCCATGACCAAACCAATCGACCAGTCATTCTTTCTTATTATTCTTTTTTTTTTTCTTTTAATTTTTCGTGATGTGGAGTTGGGTTGATGTGGGTTCTGTATTTGTTGGTTTTATGGGGTGGGAAGGAGGGTGGAGGTGGGGCTGTGATAGTGGCTTGTTAGTGTGGATGCCGTTGTGATGGATTTTGATGCGGTTCTTTGGTGCGATGAGGGTGCTGGAGTGGTTGATTCACTTAGTTGGTGGTGGCTCGATGGGCTACAAATAGGGACGGTCCGTGGCTGCGTTACTGTTCAATAGGTGGGATAATTTTTGGCGGGCTTTTATTTTTTAAACGTTTGTAATTACTTTTTAATTTGACTAATTAATTATTCTATTTCAGTTGGTTTAATGTGGAAAAACAAGGGTAAATTGATCATTTTCAATGCATTCATTAACGGAAGTCTAACAGGGTTAGGGCTCGGGATAGTTAGTGAGATGAAATTTCAATAATTTTACTTTAAATAAGAGAGGAAGGGTAAGGGCATCTCCAACCCACGCTAAATGGCGTAAAAAACACCAAATTGACGTGGGTTGGAGACACCAAACAAACGCGATACTGTAGCACCATGCCAAATTAGCGTGACACTGTAGCGCAAATAAAATATATATATATATATATATATATTTTTTTTTTTTTTTACTTTTGCTTTTGTTTTGTTTTTTTGTTTTTAATTTTGTTAAGTTAATTTGAGTATTAAATTTTACACCAAAAATTACATCAAATTTGAGTATTTGTATTTAATTTAATTTGATTATAATGATATAATTTAAAAAATGATGACAAATTAAAAATAGGACTTTATTCAATGCAAATATTAAACTACAATAACTCAAAATAAAAATTAACACTAATTTAAAAACACTAAAATTAAAAGAAAATACAACATAAACTAAAATAACAATTTAGTATTCCGATAGATTAGTTCCGGCAGTAAGATCATCAAAATATTGAAAAGAACTAAAGTTGTTTTGAGATCATTGACCTTATTGTTGAGCTCTTTTTTGCATAATTCTTAATTACTCATAAATTAAAATAACAATTCAATGTAATGTTTATTTGATTAAATAAATGCTTAATTTTATTAAATTAATATAATTTTCAAAATAATTATTATTTAATAAAAATATCATTCCCAATAATTAATTAATATATACAAAAATAATGAGTGAAATAGATTAATTGTTGATTATTATAATAAAAGAAAAAAAAATATTCTAAGGAATTTTTTTTTGGTATAATATTTGGTGTTGTGGGTTGGAGATGGAATAGTATTTCGTACCAAAATTTGCACCAATTTGGTGCAAATTTTGCACCGAATTGGTACAATGAGTTGGAGATGGTCTAAGGAAAATACAATACACCGAGTCAATCGAAGTCAATATGAGAAGCTTTACCTATCCCTTCTGGGACATAATATTCTGGTTCTTAACTTACTTTCTTTACTATTTTTATTATTTAAATTATTGTATTTAAAGAATTTAAACGTATTTGACATGTTTGTTGATAAAACTGTGATAAGATAAAGATTCAATGTAGTTACATTTAATGTGACTCAGCATCTCTCATCAGTGTTGGATTAACAAAGGTCAATGGGTCACTGTATCTTAATATATATATACTGATATACATATGTTTAGTTAGGACGGACTGATATTATTTTTATCAAGTTTAATCACTACTGGATTCATTTCATATGATTGATATCGTATTTACAACTCAGATTTAATAATATATATTTATAATTCTGATAAATTAATAATAAGACGTCCGAATTATTCTTTCAATGCATAACATTTGAAAAGGGGTTTCTTTCTATGATTGATTATTTCATACGTTACTTGATGATTTTGATATTAGGAAGGTTACACGGAGATGGAAATAAATAACTCAGCAAGTACTTTAAGCAGTGGGTCGCTAATTGAAATTGAGGAACTCTTTGAGCCTTCACTTGGGTGCTGTATTTCCAGGGTTCCTATAAATCTTCAAAAGTAAACGAGGAAGCTTATCAGTTGCTTTCAATTGGTCCTTTTCATAAGGATAAAAAAGAATTGTTTGGCATGGAAAAGGAGAAAAGAAGGTATAACAAGAAATTTATTCAACGTTGGCTAACAAAAACTCACGGGAGCAACTGAAGACCTTTGTTCAAAACCGTGAACAAGAAATCCGCCAATATTACTCGGAGCCTATTTAGTTTTCGAGTGCCAAAACCAGTAACCCAAATGAAGCCACCAATAGTACCAGAGCACGTGTAAATAATGTATATAGGAGTTTGTTAGACTTGTACATGTGTCATTTTTTCATTGGTTGTACAGCTGTATATATATCAGCGGTTTTACTTCCTTTGTAACCTTTTTCCATTAATCAATGAAGTAATCTTCTTCTCTATGTTCTTGTTCAATATGGTATCAGGGCAATAAAGTGCTTCTTGTGCGTCCTCGTTCTGGAATTTTCTCATGCTTTCATGTTCTTGAATTTCGATCAATGGCAAGGATCAATTCCACCATTGAAGATGGTTTCAGTCCTTATTACCTTCATCATTAAGATAATCCAGGGCTAATTCTTGTGTCGCAACCACTAACTGAAGACAATTAAGCTTCGTGGAGTCGAGCTATGGTGATTGCTCTGTCAATGAAGAACAAGTTAGGGTTTATTGATGGATCCATTCCTCGTCCTGATGGTAATGATTCTCTTCTCAATTCTTGGATCCGGAACATTAACATGGTTATTTCTTGGATTCTTAACTCTATTTCTAAGGAGATTTCTGCTAGTGTTATATACTCTGATTTTGCTTATGAGATGTGGTTAGCTCTTAAAGAACATTTTCAGCAGAAAAATGGACCTCATATTTTTCAGTTGAGGTGTGATCTAATGAATCACACTCAAGGTTCATCTTCTGTTAGTGCTTATTTCACCAAATTGAAAAAAATTTGGGAAGAACTTAGTAATTACAGGCCTTTCTGCTCTTGTGGAAAGTGTGTTTGTGGAGGAACTAAAGCACTTGCAGATCATTCTCAAAAGGAGTATGTTATGAGTTTCTTGATGGGCTTGCATGATTCTTTTGCTCAAGTGCGTGGTCAGTTGCTATTAATGGATCCAATTCCTCCCATCAACAAGGTTTTCTCCCTTGTTTCTCAAGAAGCACATCAGAGGAATGTTAATGTGACTTCTGTTGGTTCTGGAGGTGTTGAATCTATGGCTTTTGCTGTGAAAAACGATGTTGCTCGATCTAACAATGGTCAAAATTTTCCTAGAGGGCAAAGGAAAGATAATCTCAATTCTAACAAGCCTGTCTATACTCATTGGGGTTATGTTGGCCATACAATTGATAAATGTTACAAGCTGCATGGTTATCCTCTTGTATATAAGCCCAAGTTTAATTCTAATACTTCTCATCAAGCTTCTTCCAATCAGACCCCTGCTGTTGCAAATCAAGTCTCCAATTCAGTTAATGATTTGTCTCGTGGAAATGCTGAGAACTCTAGAAATTTTGGAAGCTTTGTTCAAATGCTCAATCCATCTCAGGATCAACATTTGATGACTATGTTGAATACTCATCTTTCTGCTGCAAAGATAGGCACAGAAGCTGATGCTATTTCTGCTCAGGCATCAGGTACTTGTTTTTCTGTTGCTATTAATCCAATTTTTAATTCTTCTAAACATTGGAATATAGATTCAGGTGCCACTAGCCATATTTGTTTCAATCAATCTGCCTTCCACACAATGAAACCTCTCAAGAATTCTTTTGTCACTTTGCCTAATCACAATCGTATTCCTTTTCATTTTTCTGGAACTGTGAAGCTCAATTCTTTTTTGTTGCTACAAGATGTTCATTATATTCCTCATTTCAGATTTAATCTGATATCATGAGTTCATTAATGAAGGGTGCTCATCTGGATATTAGATTTCTCACTGATTCTTGTATCATCTAGGATCTGCACAGCCTAAAGATGATTGGCAAGTGTAAAAGAATGGCAGATCTCTATGTTCTTGATGATGATTTTTCCATATCAAATAATCATAGTTGTTTCATTGCTACTAGTTCTTGTAATTCCAGTTTATTTGTTACTAATAAGGTGAATTGTCACACTTGGCATCACCGGCTTGGACATCTATCTTTTAAGAAGCTAGACATGTTAAAAGATAGATTACAATTTTCTGAAAATAAGACTGATCATTGCACTATTTGCCCATTGGCTAAGTAGCGAAGGCTCTCTTTTGTTCCTCATAACAATCTTTCCAAGTCTCCTTTCGATTTAGTTCACTGTGACACATGGGGTTCATATCAGGTTCCAACACATGCTGGTTACAGATATTTCTTGACTTTAGTTGATGATTATACTCGTTTCACCTGGATCTTTCTCATCAAACAAAAGTCTGATGTGAGCTTTATTATTCCTAAGTTTTTCTCCATGATTGAAACTCAGTTTAACATAGTTGTTAAGCAATTTTGTTTAGACAATGCTCCTAAGTTACATTTCACAGATTTCTTTAGTTCCAAAGGTGTTCTTCATCAATTTTCTTATGTAGAAAGACCTGAACAAAACTCTGTTGTGGAACGCAAACATCAGCACCTTCTCAACGTGGCTCAAGTCTTATTTTTTCAGTCTAGAGTTCCTATAAAATTATGAGGGGATTGTGTGCTCACAGCAACTTATTTGCTAAACAGAACTCCTTCACCATTGTTGTAGAACAAGGCCCTTTTTCAGTTGCTGTATAATTCTCCTATTGATTATGGTTTTCTTAGAGTCTTTGGAAGCTTTTATTATGCATCAACTCTCTTTTCTCATTGTCACAAATTTCATCCCCGAGCCACAGCTTGTGTTTTTGTTGCCTATACACTAGGTATTAAAGGGTACAAACTTTATGACATTGTCACAAAATCCTTCTTTCATTCTCAAGATGTAGTTTTCATTAGAATTTGTTTCCCTCTCATTCCGTACCTCATTCCAATGATCTAATTGACCCTTTCCCAGATTTGGTTTTACCAAAACTTATCCTTGATATACCTCCTATACCGATACCTTCTCCTAATTTTACACCATTAGTTTCTTCTTTACCTAATGAGCATATTTCTCATAATACTCCTGCTCAACCTATCTTACAATCTTCCCATCCAATTAGAAAAACCTCTCGGGTTATTAAACTACCTTCCTACTTAAGGGATTTTCATTGTAATCTTTTATCTAATAAGCCTTCTCATTCCTCAAATTCACCCTATCCAATTGAAAATTACAATTGCTATGCCAATTCGTCCCCTTCTCACTCCAATCACCTCCTCACTGTATCTTCTACATATGAGCCTCAATTACCACGAAGTTGTTAAGTTTGCTCATTGGAGAGAGGCCATGTCAAAGGAATTAGAGGCTATGGAGACTAATAATACCTGGACAGTTACAGCTCTTCCTGCTGGCAAACATTCCATAGGGTGTAAATGGATTTATAAGGTCAAATATAAATCCGATGGAAGTTTAGAGAGGTATAAAGCTCGTTTGGTGGCAAAGGGATACACACAACAAGAAGGTTTGGACTAGAGACTTTTTCACTGGTGGCTAAATTGGTTACTATCAAAATCCTTCTTCCTGTTGCTACTAGTAACAAATGGCCTTTAATCCAATTAGAGGTTAATAATGCTTTCCTCCATGGTGATTTGTTTGAGGAAGTTTATATGGATTTGCCTTTGGGCTACTCTAAGCTACCTAATAATAGAGTTCAGGGGGAGAAATTAGTATGCAATTTGCATAAATCCATTTATGGATTAAAGCAAGCTTCAAGATTGTTCAATCAAAATCTGATTACTCCTTGTTCACAAAGAGTTCTGGTTCATCTTTTGTCGCTTTGCTGATTTATGTTGATGATATTATCATCACTAGTTTTGATATGGCTGCTATTAATTCTTTTAAAGTTTTTCTCCACAGCCAGTTTAAACTCAAAGATCTTGGCCATTTAAAATACTTTTTTGGTTTAGAAATTGCTCGTTCTGTTAAAGGTTTGTTTCTTTCTTAGAGACATTACACATTACAACTTCTTGAGGATACTGGTTTCCTTGCTTGTAAACCAACTTCATTGCCGATGGATCCTAAAGTCAAGTTCTGTTGAAGGCAATTTACTCGATGATCCATCTCCTCATCGAAGACTAGTTGGTCGTCTTCTATACTTGACTATTTCCTGGCCTGATATCACTTTTGCAGTCCATAAATTGAGCCAATTTGTTTCTCAACCTCGTCAGCCTCATATGGATGCTGCTCGTCATCTCCTAAAGTACTTAAAGGGTACTCCTGGCCAGGGTTTGCTTTTTTCCCTGCTACATCTTCTTTCCAGCTTAGAGCCTTTGCTGATGTTGACTGGGGTTCATGTCTTGATAACAGGAAATCAGTAACAGGTTTCTGTGTGTTTCTTGGTAATTCTTTAGTGTCTTGGAAAGCTAAGAAACAAAGCACCGTGTCTACATCCTCTGCTGAGGCAGAGTATCGTGCGTTGGCTACTACTGCTAGTGAGATTGTCTGGATTCAATAGCTGCGCTAAAGGATCTTCAAGTCTCAACTGACAAACCAGCATTGATTTTTTGTGATAATCAAGCTGCTGTCCATATCGCCACTAATATTATCTTTCACAAACGCACCGAACACATTGGAATAGATTGCCATTTCGTTCGTGATAAGCTTACTATAGGTGTTCTCAAGTTACTTCCAATTCGGACACAACATTAGCTAGCTGATGTTTTTACAAAAGCTTTACCTGCTGCTCAACTTTTCCATTTGCCATCCAAGATGAAGGTTCTTGACATTCACTGTCCATCTTGATGGGGAGTAACAGAGCGCGTGTAAATAATGTATATAGGAGTTTGTTAGACTTGTACAGGTGCCATTTGTTCATTGATTGTACAGTTGTATATATATCAGCAGTTTTACCTCCTTTGTAACCTTTTTCCATTAATCAATGAAGTATTCTTCTTCTCTCTGCTCTTGTTCAATAAATAGTAACCAAGAATAAGTCGCCCCCAACACTGTAGATTAAGCCTCAACCAACTCAGATGAAGAGTTGCTTTCAACCCACTATAATTTTTCGGCTATTTTTTTATTTACTTCAAGGCTTGCACAGAAGAGCACCTAATAACGAAGAGATCGAAGTCACTGTAGTTGGAGCGTCCACATTGACCTGGATAGAGGGCTACTTCCTACCAGGTTCCTTACTCTTCCTTATCATTTTTTTGTCCTCAATGGCTGGCGCAATAGAAAAGAGATCAAGGTCAAACATTTCACCGATTTGTATAGGCACGCTCTAGGGGAGTTAGAAGGAGACAATACGGAGGGTTTACATCCCCGGGAGAGCTTTTACACAATAAACATTCCGGAAGATTTACCAGCTGAAAAGAATTTACCTAAGGCGGTCAAATTGCAACAGTCAGGAGTTGTGTTTAAGCATCTTTCAACCAAATCTTAGTTGACATAAAGTTGAGAAATCAACCTTTTCCATTCTTTAATGGAGTTGAAGTGCGAATCCCGTGCACTGAAATAAATGACGACACTAAATATTTGATTCGAAATGCAGTGCCATTGGAGCAGTGTCACTATCCATCAGGAACTTACTTACGCAGTTACATCTAGTTGATGAGTTTCCTTATCTGCTCTGTAAAAGACGTGGATCCACTTGTTGAAGAGGGAATTATTAAAAATCTTGTGGACGAGAATCTTGTAATAGTGGACCTCTTTAATAAACTTGGCCAACAAATTCCACAAGTGGTTCCCATTACTCCGGATTGTATGAGCATCTTAGAGCGCAGTACGACAATCTTTGGAACCGCATCAGTGCAAACTTGAAATGCATATTTTTAAGAACTGCTTGCGAGCCACGACAGCTGTTGTCGGACCTATACTTTTTCTGCCCAGTTTGGTTGAAAACATACTTTCAATTAAGAACTCCTTGAGGTTTTAATATTTGTATTGAATGTTCTTATATTATAATGTAATTTGCATTTAATTACTGATATAGATTTGCTATTTTATAATATTTGTATTGAATGGTCTTTTCTTATTAGAGATTTTATTTATAGTCATATTCTTTCATAAAATATTTGTGAAGAGTGCTTCTAAAACGTGTTTGTTAAGAGCTAAAATCAATACGCTGCGTTTTGTTAAGAATTCTTGTTGCTTAAGGAAACGATGCGTGGTAGTTATAGCTAAAAACAGCTGAGCCATCAATTTGTGCTTGCGTATTAAGTGCAGTTATTCCTAATCTCTCATTGTATTAGAGTCGAAAGTTTCAAGCTCGAAACCTCATATAAATGGGATAAATATATAATTTTATAAAATTAGAGTGAGGAAATTTGGTGTTTGGTTGGAGAGAATATGAAGGAAAATGGAAGTAACACAATTAGAGAAACTCCTGTTTGTTATTCACGGTATTACGTCTAAAAAATGCCTTACGATTTACAAGTACTCCCTTCTACTATCAGGCACTTAGTCTTGAAGGGAAAATATCTTAGTTTAATCACAAATAGTTAGTAAATTCGTGTTTTATACGCGAATTATACGGCTAGCCATATAATTCCCGTATAAAACACGAATTCACGAATTTTATTAGGGCTGCCGTATAATTCGCGAATTATATATCATATCCGCCAAATTTTTGCCGAATTTTTGCAGACAAAAAAATAATTAAATGATAAGGCAAAACGACGTCGTTTTGGCGGGGTTTGACTAAAATTAAAGAAAATCTCCTTCTCCTCTTCCTCGGTTCTCTCTTCCACAGTCTTCATCTCTTCTTCAAATCTTCAACAATTCAACTCTTTTTTCTTCATCTCTTGACTCTTTGAGTCTTGATCTCTTCTTCTCTTCTCTTTTTAACTCTCTTCTCCAAGCTTTAACATA